TTCTGCTGAAAATTCTTCTGGTAGTTTTATGGGGATCCCTTGTACCTAAGGAGTTGTTTTCTCTGGATGCCTTGAAGGTCCTCCTTATCTTTAACTTTTGATGTTTCTATTATGATGTGTCATGGTGTGGGTCTCCTTGGGTTCGTGTTATTTGGGACTCTCTAGGCTTCCCAGGCCTGGGTGTGTGTTTCCTTCCCCAGGTCAGGGCCATTCTCAGCCATTATTTGTTTAAATACATTTTCTGTGGCTTTCTGGGGGACAGAAGTTTTCTTCTCTTTCTGGCACCTTTATTATGCAAACATTGTTTCCCTTTATGTTTTTCCATAGGCCTCTTGAGCGGTCTTTGGTTTTTTAAATTCTTTATTCTTTTCACTGCTCTGTTTTAGAGTGTGCTCCCCCGCCCTGTCTTCAGCTGACCGACCCTTTCTTCCACTTCGTCGGCTCTGCTGTTGAAGCCCTTTATGCACTTGTTTTTTCCAGTTCAGTTTTGTATTCTTCACTCTGTGACTTCTGTTTGTACCTTCTCGTGTTTTCTCTCTGTCCATCTGTTCTTCTCCTGAGATCAGTGAGCTGCTCTGTGACCTTGACTTTGAACTCTTTATCAGGTAAATTACCTGTCTTGGTTTCATGAAGGTATTTTTCTAGAGTTTTATCTTGTTCTTTCATTGGGAGCATAATCCTCTGTTTCCTTATTTTGCTTGGCTGTGTTGGCGTCCATGTATCAGGTGAAACAGCTCTCTCCCCTCATCCTAACGCAGTGGCCACAGGAAGCCTGGGAGTGGCTTTCAGTATGCTGTCTGGGCAGCACCCCGGGAAGGTAGCCTGTCATGAACTGTCTCTCCAATTGCTTCAGTCCTGTGGGACCCAGAACCACAAGTCCCTGACCACCAGAGCCAGATGTCCAAGGGATGTCCCTTGTGTGGACTGTGCACAGCCAGCAGGGGCTGGGCCAGAGGATGCCCAGATCCTCCTGGAGGCTGTCGGGAGAGACGAGGAACCATCCCGAGCCTATCCAGAGCCCCGGGAAAAGACACAGAGCACACACTCTCTTCCTGGCTGGGTCTCTCCCTCCCAGTGGGCAGGTGGAGAGGTGGGTAGGTGGATGGACAGGCAGGGGGACGGAGCCATGGATGGACACACTGATTGTGCAGGTGCAGAGAGAGAGAGAGCATGGAACTCAGGAAGACCAAGAGCCCGGTGTGTCCACCCACTACCCACTTCACGGAGGAGGGGCCTGAGCATCCCAGAGGAAGGGCCCCAACTGCCCCGGGCTGCACTGTGGTCAGACTCCACATCCAGTGCCCTTTCTCTGACCAGGAGGCCACTTGCCCCTCTTCACTCTGGGTCCCCTGGCCCATTGCTGTGAAAAGAACCCCGGGTGACTGGGGAGCCCAGGCACAGCCCCTGCGGGGCCCACCTCACCTCTCCAACCACAGCCCCTCCGTGAGAGGGCAGTCACCCACGGTACAGGTGCCTGCACCCCCATGGAACACTGGGCCGCACCTACAGGGGACTGGCCGCCTTCCTGTGCCTGCCCTGCCAGCGGCTGTCTGGGTCTGTCTGCACGTGGGCCTGAGGGCCCAACGTTTTCCTTCCATCTTTCTCAGTTCAAACTGTCTTTTCCTTAGAGTCTTCCAGGAGCCTGGAATTCACTCTTTCTCTCTGCATGTGGGGACTTCATTCTTTCCCAGCAGATTTTACTTTCTCTCTCTGTTTCTGTGTCTCTGCCACTCTCCTCTGTCTGTGTCTCTGTCTCCTTCTGTCTCATCTCTCTGTCTCT